ACGCCACCAGTTGTCAAAAGGAGATTCATATTGACACTTAGGTGTGCAGAGGGTCCATTTTGAAATTGTGGCTGCATAGTACCCAGGTTGTACCGAGATCATATTTAATTCTGACAAAGAACAAATAGGAGGTAGTGAGAACTTGCTGGTTTTTCCTGTACCTCTGGAGAGGAGTGTTGGGCTGTATTATTTTTGACACAGCACCTCATTTAAGCCTTAAGAATAGGTAGTCCATGCCCCCATGAAATAGAGCCATGTGTTGACAGGGAGAATTCAGCAGCTTGGTTTGAGGTTTAGTCTGATGTTCCTCCACCAGTCACAATAATTACATTGCTGTCTTTTCATAATATGATTTATTTAGATGTTGCTTTATGAATTAATTCCTTCTAATTGCTGCTCCCCTCGCTGTAAATCAAGGTTTCTTGCTTTCTGTAGTACAGCAAACATGATCCTACCGTGCAGTAATTAGTCCAATTAGGAAGCAAGGCAGATGTGGAAAACCAATTAGTTTCAGGAATATGTCCCTGCCTATGTATCCCAGGCACTGTTCAATTGAAATTTAATAGCAACTTAATAAAACATTGTTTCATTCACAAACCATCTCCTCCTTCCAAGCTCTCATTTGTTTGTTTATCTGCTCATTTTAAAGGGAGCCAGTGCCAGCCTGCTTCAAGCTTGGCCAATCTCTTTCTGTGTGAAGATTAGTGTTATTATTTTCTCCCTGTGGTTTAATCGGAGGGATCCATGCTTGAAGAGGGAAGCAGACACCATTGGTCTAAGGGAAAGGGTGAGGTTTGGTCGTCTCCATCCTTCTTTTCCTAACTATTGGGGATCTCCATGTCCTGGAAATGAGACCTAAATAATAACCATCCTTCTTTCCACTTGATCCAGAGACTTGAGACTTGAATATTGTGTTTTGTACAAACACACATCAATCCATAAACACATGCACATAAATAAGTGCTTATACAGATGCGTTCACATGTACGCACACAAATGTTCACATGTACACACATACGTGCACGCACAGTCTGTGTGCTGCCTATATAGGGAGCCCTATGCCTAGGCTCCCAATTTTTGTCTGCCAATTTCATTAGATCTTCTCTTGCCCAGACCAGAGTATGACACTAGGGACATCCCTATACTTTAACTTATCCAATTGGAAAATTGGAATTAAGTGAACTACTAACCTCATGGGTTCCAAAGATAACAACGTGTGACAGCAACTTTGAAAGTATTAACCTACAAATCACCAACATTAAGGCTACTAATCCAAATGTTTGTAATACGAACTGAAAATCACCCTGTACGGCATTGGCCAGTGACATGAGGGTTATCTCAGGCCTCAGGCTGGCTTAGGAACTGTGATGATCATGCATAAAGTACCCTGTGTCCTTTGATACAGAGCAAGGCAGCCCCAGGAGTGGGTAAGGGGATGACTGGCTGATTAAACCTGGAGTTCACCCCTCTTGCAAAGCAGGAGGCAGAGGAATCCCATTTCTTCTTGTCTAAGGGATATAGATAGCAAATCTGAGAGAGAGAGAGAGGCTCCCTTCCAGGTATGGAGGCTTCTGCTACAGAAGGAGAGGCAGAGCTAAACTCAGCTCCAGGCTTTGTAACATGCCCCCACTGCGTTCTTTATTTACACAAACAGCTTGTGCCTGTCTTTGGGGAACAAATTTCTAGCTCTGGGACATCTACATGAGAGTTATTCTGTAAAAATCTATCAGCTAACAATTATAGCCACTGAGAATGCCTCTCTGCGGCTCTGTCTGATAGGTGAGTTACTGAACTTTTGATTTATGTAACTCATTATCGTTGCACAGTCACTGCAGCGCTACGCTCCATTTCTCTTTGGATCATTATGTGGTTGGCTTTCTCCATGTCCTGGAAGCGAGACCTTAATAATAACCAGCAAGGGTAATATAATTAGTAAGAAAGTGGCATTACTGTGTTCACTCAGCCCTTCGGTGTGTGCGCATGCGCATGTGCGTGCGTATGCCGAGTGACTAGGGTAGCCGTGAGGATGCAACACGCAAGAGATAAATAACCGTCTTTGGAGACTAGCAACTCCCTTCTCTCCTGAATCAGCAGGTTTTCTCAGTAGATGTCGAGAGAGTCCAATCAGGGTCTCTCAGATGCAGGCTGCAGTGTGGGGAGCAAAGGACAAGAAAGAACTGTCACGGTGGAAAAAAGATTGCGACAAATCCGTGGTGGGTTTTGGAGGATGACTGCCCCTGTGACCTGGCAGATGAAGCTATTCATCCCAGCTCACAGGACACGATTATTGCTCTTTTGATTGTATCTGCTCCTTGGGGGACGCTGTGACAACGCTCAGGTTATAAACAGCCAGCCGCTCAGGGCAGATGATATGCCAGCCTCAGGTGATTGAGGGCCATGAAGGCTGAAGCTGAAATCGTACAACAGCTTCTACTGTCCTGAGTTACTCAGTGGAAGACACACTTTACGGGGCTGTGAAAAAGACGATTGGTAATCAAACCAGCAATAAATAAATAAATAAATAAATAAAATTTGGCTCACTGTCCAAAAGTTCAATAAAATTGAATTTGAGAAATATTTATTGACAGATTATCCCATAGTTACAGATATTGTTGTTCAGATAAATAAACATCCATTGTGCTTGAGTGCATGAATTACTTCAGCATGGCCCACAGTTATAATCTACTTGGGCCTAAGTAGAGTTTCTAACTGGAAGAGAGAATGAATCAGGGGATCAAATGGAGCTTTTTCAAGAACAAATGCATGAGCTGTATCCTGAAGGGTGGTGGGCTGGGGGAAAGAACAGAGGGCAGGCACAATAGCCAACAGAAAATTCTGAGAGGCTATGAGGCAGTGGTCAGGTTAGGTCTGTTCTCTCATCTCAGGACATCAGTGACTAGGAAGGCAGATGGCCTACAGCATGGATATTCTGGGATCTGCCCAGGGTCTGGTAGATACAGAGCAGCACCAGAAGCCTCAGCTGTCAGGGTAGTCATATTTTAGGGGCATCTTCTTTTCTTCTTAAAAAAAAAATTGTGTGTGTGTGTGTGTGTGTGTGTGTGTTTGTATGTGTTCATGTATGATCCTGTGTGTTCACGTTGAGGCCAAAGGTCAACCAATGTCAGCTGTCTTCTTACATTGCTTTTCACTTAATTAAATTAATTATTAATTTTTGAAACAAGGTCTTCCACTGTACCTGGAGCTCTCTGGTCTGTCTAGAGACCTCCAGGTATCTGTCAGGTCCAAAAGAAATGTTGCAATGGTGTTTATTAGCATGTGATGTGTAGGCAGACCTCCAAGCTCTCCCAGCATCACAAGAACCTGTTACAGAGTCCAGGCTGTTAGCTTGCCTCTGTTGGCTCTTCTCACCCTGCCTCCTACCCTAAACTTCTCCAGTTTATAGGCTTCCCTTCCTCAGCTTCTCGTTCCCTTGAACCCTGATATTTTTACTGTACCTTCTTTTGCCCCTCTCCCTTGGTTTCCTTTGTCTGTACTCTCTGTCCCCCTTGCATTCCCTTAGTGTCCCAGTCTATGCTCAGTCTGTTACTTTCTCTCCTCTGGACTCTTTCATATGCCTCTGGTCATACTCTCCCTCTTATCTACAATTAAAACAGTTCCCTCAACCATACCTTGGAACAGTCATGCTGTCAGTTTATACAGTACCCTCTACTTTCCTAGTACTTACCAATGCATCCAGTTTTTATGTGGTGCTGGATATCTAACCTCAGTTCCTCATGCTTGTGACACAGACACTTGGCCTACTTAGCCACTTCCCAACCCCTGTTGGTACATTTCCACGCAGACCATCTTCTTGACCCTGTCCTCTGGTATGCTAAGTGACTGCTCTGGAAAATGAAATGAAAATAAATCCCATCTACTGAGAGCCATCTATTGACACGATTCTTAATAGATGGACCGCAAGAGCTCTTCCTGTGCGGTCTTATCTGCAGTGGCGATGCTGAATTATCCCAGAGTCCAAAGACTTGCAAGCTATCGCTGTAAGGTAAATTTTGTAATAATAGAACAGTGTGATTCTTCTCAGTAGCTAACAGGGGAGGGGCGGATAATAAAAATAGCAGTGATTTAGGTTTTCCTCAGGGACCCCCAGGGAATAAGGTGTCCACACTTCCCCACTGTTCTATTACTTGGGAAGAATGGGAGCCAGAATAAATGCTGGGAGGGCTCCTTTGCAGTTTTCCTCGGGGCTTTCTGAGAGAACTGCCTCTGGGGCATCTGCTTTCCCAAGCAATCAATGCAACCACCGAGTGAGAAATGAGTAACAGCAACTGCTTAGCATCCATTCTTCCTTGTAATTAATACCACGTGGCTATGCAGACAGCCCAAGCTGTCTAGTGGAAAGATGCTCATTCAGGGGAACCAAGCAACAAACAAACAATGGGAAAAGGCTGTGTGCACACAATTCTTGCAAAATTCAAGAAGACAATGGCTTACCTCCAAGTTATCCATACCCAAGTACCACTTGGTGGGTTATGTCTTGTCTTTTTTCTTTTCTTCTAAAAAAAAAATCAGCTTATATATTTTTTTGCAACCAGAAGGAGCACACTTTTAATTGTTTCATTAAAAGAGGTGTTGAGATGTTACTAATTGCCAAATGCAATTAAGTGTGGCAACATGTCACAGGTAAATTAATGAAAAGAAGCCAGGTGCTTGGTGGGGGTGTGGTACTCAGTGTTCATGAGGCAGGAATAATTGTTACTGTTACTGGAGGGGACTCCTGCTTGTCCCACTATGCTGTCGAACATGCCCTACACTGGCCCATTTCAGCTTCTGTTTCTTTGTTTTGTGTGTGTGCGCACATACCTGTGTATGTGTGTGTGTGTGTGTGCAACCACATGTGCTATAGTGTTCACACTGAGGGCAGAGGACAAGATACTGGAGTTAGTCCTGTCCTTCTACCATTTGTAAGCCAGACAGCAAACTTGGGTGGTAGGGTTTGGCTGCAGGTACCCTTAATCCATTTCTCTGGCCTTCCCTTTCAGTTCTAAAGGTTTCTGATTCACCTGTGACCATGGCTAGGACTGGTTTTAGCTGCTGCCTCTCAGAGCTTCATAATGATGGGAAAGGAGCTGAGAATGTGAAAAAGAAAAGACAATTATTACAACCCAGAAAGGTGAGAACCCACTATGTTCACATTAGAAACCAGATGAAACCATAGTCTACCTTGTCACCAATCTGATGTCATGGCAGAGAAAGAGCCACCATGCCCGAGTGTCTTAGGGAGATAAACTGTGAGACTAGATGTCTTTTCAAGATGATAGCCAATGAGCTTCCAGAAAGCTCAGCTGTGGGTCTGGTGTCTCAGGTGAGCTACAATGTATATACTGTACACTCTCTGATTTTACATTTATCTGTCAGCTCTTCTTACATGCTATGTGTAGTACAGAACACGATGAAGACCTTGTCCACTTCGGCTAAAGCAGACTGTGAGCCTGGTGTGAATGAGAACATTCCCCATAGGTTCTGGATTTGAATACTTGGTCTCCAGTTGGTGAAGATGCTTGGAGAGGCTTAGGAGGTCTGCCCTTGCTGGATGAAGTAGGAGGGGTGTGGAGAGTTTGAAGACTTAGGCCATTTTATGTGAGCTGTCTTGGCTTTCTGTACATGGTTCAAACTGTGAACCCACAGATATTACTGTTCCCAAGTCTGTTACCTGATGCCATCCCCCTGCCATGATACCATGTTTCCTGCCATGATACCATGCTCCTGGCCTGATACCATGCTCCCTGCCACATTGATTCTTGTCCCTCTAGAACTATAAGCCCAAGTGTCCTTGATGGCTTTATGATAACCTGACCCAAGTTAAAGTCATCTGAGAGGAGGGAACCTCAGTTAGGAAAATGCCTCCATTAGGTTGGGTTGTCAAAAGGCCTGTAGGTCATTTTTAAAATTAGTGATAGACGGGGGAGGCCCTGCCCATTATGTGTGTTGCCATGCCTGGGCTGGTGGTCCTGAGTGAAGGGTCTTTAGCCAGCCCAAGCATGGCAATCATGGCTCTGGCAGGCCTTGCCCTTCTCCTCTATTCCTGTGTCTTGCTAGAAACCATTAGATTATACTCCTAAAGCTAGCCACTAAGGTCTGTTTCCTTGGAGGCTGACTGCCAAGGTCCAGCTATTAAAGTCCAGAAATCAAAAGCCCCCTTTGGCTCACCTAATTAACATGCTTAATCAAAATTAAACATTTCATTCTAACACAGGATTCTCTTTTTACCTTTATAAACTGTCATTTGCTCATGGGCTACATCTTTCTTCTTTCTCCAAAAGCAGTTCTTTATCCCTCCTGGACAAATATCCCTTCCCCCTCTCCCTTTTCCTTTCTTCTTCTCCCTCATCCTCTACCTCCTGTCTTGTCTCTTATTCCCTGCCCTTTGTTCCTCTGGGCATCACACATCTTCTTTGTGTTGAGAACTTGGTCTTGGGGATGTCATGTGCCAAATACCAGTCCCTTCACTGTGTTCTGTAAGAAAGAAGGCTAAGCAACCCATGAGGAGCAAGCCAGTCATCAGCACCCCTCCATGGCTTCTGTATCAGCTTCTGCCTCCAGGTTCTTACCCTGTTTGAGTTTCTAGTCTGACTTCCTTCAGTGATGAACAGCGATATGGAAGAGCAAGCCAAATAAACCCTTTCCTCCCCAACTTGTTTTTTTGGCATGGTGTTTCATTGTAGCAACAGAAACCCTAACTAAGATAGCAAGTAAACTTGTAGTTGCCTTGGTCAGGGTGTTTTGTCACAGCAACATAAAAGTAACCAATTCAGATTCCTTTGGCAATGAGGATGAAACCCTGTTTATCTTGGTTTTTCTTTCTTTCTTTTCCTTTTTTCTTTGAGCCTCTAATACCTTACACAGTTCCTAGCACATGTTCAGGACTCAATATTTAATGAATAAACCAAATAAGATAACTAAGTTGATAAGGGGAACTGTTTTGTGGGAGGAGAGATGCCAGAATTGCTCTCAGAAAGTGGAGAGGAGAGTTGAAAGTCTCTGAGCAGTGAGAATGTTAAAATGGATATTGCAGTGATGCTGGAAAATAGACCAGATGACCATGACCTATAGAAGGTTCTAGAGGCAGCACAGATACTCACACAAATTTCAAACAGCAGCCCTTGGGGTGTTTCTATATGGGGTAGAAAGCCTGGCCCCCAACTATTATGTCACCATGTACCCAGACTGCCCATTGAGAGCTTGGTCTACTTGATTCACCATGCATGCTCTCACACTGATAGTAATACAGGCTGTGACTAGGCATGGAGCCCCGTGGTGGCTGAGCATGGGTCCTCAAGGTGGATGAGCATGGATTCTGTGGTTGATGAGCATGGATCCCTATGGTGGGTGAACATGACTCCCCAAGGTGGGTAAGCATGGATTCCATGATTGATGAGCATGGATCCCCATGGTGGGTGAGTACGGATCCCATGGTGGATGAGCATTGCTCCCCAAAGAGGATGGACATGAATCCCAAGGTGGGTGAGCATGGATCCCAAGCTGGGTGATCATGGATCCCAAGGTGGGTTCATCTATTATCACCGTCAAATATAAAGGCAATACTTTGTATTCTTAACCAGCATAGTCTTTTATTGGATTTCTCTTTCTTGTCCATAGGACTGCCACTGGAAGCACTTGCTGGGGTGCTTGTCACATATCCAATCCTCTGGTGCAGAGTCCCACATAACATGGCATCCATCCAAGAATCATAATTTATAGAAGAGATGAGCTGGTAAGCCTTTGAGTACAGACACTGAAATCATACACTGTACCTACCAGAGAGTTATTGGTCTGGTAGAGTTTAATGACCTGCTAAAGACAGACATGGGTTGTTATTTCTCAGGAAACAGTGAATACTTTAAATAGAAAATGTATATACTGCTGTGTACCTAGTAGGTGGAATTCATAAGTAAGGGAAGCAAATGGTGGAAACTGTAGCCTTGCTCTTAGTGAATGAACCACATGGGGAACATGTTTTTTACACCCACAACTTAGGGTTCCCCATAGGTCTTACTTCCCAAAGAGGAAATACTACTGCCAAAGGACCCAGCAGGAGTCCTATGAATTATAAGCTATGACTTCTCTGTGTACTCAAGACTCCTTGTACTGATGGACCAGCAGGCAAGAAGAAGAGCCTCCATTTTGGCTAAAGTGATTTATCCAGGGCTATGGCAGGTTTGACGCTCATGCATTGCATACTGCACCCTCCATGCTTTCTGGACTGGCTTTAGTAGGAAGTGGATGAGTTCAGCAACCCTGCACAATGAGTAGGCGCTCAGACCTCCAGATGTACGGTTTGGCTCATGCCACCAAGTAAGGAAGATACCAAGAACAGCTTGGGTACCAGATGAGAGCTATTGATACCAGCTGTCTTGTAAGAGCAGGCTGTGGAGACTGGCAGCTGAAGGTTAACAGCTGTTATCATTCTGTCAAGTCCTCCCTGAAAAAAGAAGGGTTTCTAGGAGTGTGGAGACCGTATTCCTAGAACTTGGGTGAAGAGCATCTCAAAGTGCCCCAAGAGGGAGCATATGAATGGACTCTGATGCTCCTCTCATATGGTCTTCCAGGAATGGAGGATGAGTTCTCTCAGGGGAACTTTCTGTTAACTGAAGAGATTATCTCAGATCGAGGACTTCACCTCAGCCAAGGAAAGGCCCCCTTTTAGTGGTAGCCCATAAATAATGCACCAACCTGAGGGATGAAGGCCCTAACAATTTACCCCAACTCACCATCCCTCTAAAGGACCATCTGAGCTCCAGAATATTCTCTGGGTCCAATGAGGCTTTCATTAAATTTGTATCTCATTCAGCTCCTCCTTCCACCCAAATCAGTCTTCCTCTCTCTTCTTCAAGTGAACAATCCTTCAGTGATATCTAGATATTGTGGTTAGCTTTCTGGGAAGTTCTACTTTTTGATAAGTGTAGTTAAAGTCATCTGTAACCTTGTGTTTTTCTATCTGTCTACTTTATTCCCAGAAATAATGACTTCGAGACTTAATATTTCATGAATAAATGCCATGTCCAAAGCTTTGCTTATTCACCGGCTAGCTCATAACTTAATAATCCATTTATTCTATTCTGTCATGCCACATGACTGGTTACCTGGTCTTCAGTTTCATGCAACCATCTTCTTCTGTGTCTGGGGCAAATCTCTCACATGCCTAACTCTTTCCCATTCTCCCCCTCCTCCTCAATCTTTCTCTCTCTCTCCAGAATTCCCACCTCCTATTTCCTGCCTCAGCTCATTGGCCAGAGGCTTTTTTATTGACAGGTGAATGCCTTTACACAATACACGAGAGATTCCTTTTACAGATAAATCTTCAATTGTTACAATTATCCTTCCCTCTAACAGTTATGTCCCTTGTAACCATTAGTATACAGATACTTCACTCTCCTCATTTGTTGTATGGCTAACACTGTGCTTTCTGGCTTTTTTCAAAATGCCATCACTTGAGATGCTTCCTTGCTTGTGATTCATGTCACTGGTGGGTTCAAGACCCTCCCCTTACCATGCTGATCTAAGTCTCTGTGTTCGTCTCATTGCATTCAGTGGCTATCAATGGGTTTAAATTTCTCCTTCTGTGGTGAGTGCCTAGGTGCTGGAAATGGGGTCCTGTCATTTTCTTTTTTTTTTTCTTTCTAGCTGTGCTTCTCAATACCACTCCTGGCTCATCTCCAGCTCTTCTATAGAACCAGTGTTCCAATCATTGCTTCTCTCAGAAGGAACTTGGTTAAGTGTTGTGTAACAGTTTCTTCCAAGATTACAATATCCATCCTACAAGGAGCTCTTTAAGCAAGAAGGTAACTACTCAAATTAGCTTCAGGAAGTCCCTAAAACTGACCAGATTCACTGGGCTTTTCCTGCCAGGGTAAACAATACAAAAAAGTTAAGAGTTGCTTTCCGAGGAGAACTGAGCTGCACAAATACTCTCAGGTAAATTACCAAAGCTGAAGAGACCCTGAGAGACAAACCAGCTGCCTGGAAAAAGAAGAGATGGGCTGAGCTGCCTGGAAGAGATTTAGACCAACTCAAACACATGGAAAGGACACTCCTCAGCTTACTGAACTGCCTGCAGGTTGTGCAGTGTGCTCCAGGTTCCCAGCTTTGTGAGCTGTCAGCCATGTTGACATGGGTTTTGGTGATGCACTTGTCTGAGTCCTTTCTACCCCTGTAAATAATTCCAGTAAAACTCATTTGGTTCACCAAGCTGAACCTTGGTCTGTCCTTGGCCCCCTTGGTCTGTTGTAGGCCTCCATGTCTGTCATGGAGGGAGGGAACATGTGTGGCTCTTTAGTTTAGGTAACTAAACAATGGAGTTCTTAGTTCACAGGACAGCAGTTTAGGCCAGTGTGGCCCTGCAGAAAAGGCAGCCAAAGCTAATACTTGGCCTTGGTTTTTCACCACCAGTATTTAATGTTTTGAAAATTTATTTAGCTTTAAGGTTTTAGTACAAGTTTATATTGCATGTTAAGCATATGTGCCCAATGCGTCCCCACTTTGCCTTTCCCCCACTTTTCCCTCCTGTGACTCAGCATTGTCCCCTTGGACTCTTTTGTTTCTACTTCTGTGTCATCTATAAATTATACAAATCTAGGAACCACAAATGAGGTAAACCATCTGATATTTGTTTTCCAAGTCTGGCTTAATTTATTTACTACAGTTATCTTCATTTGTATCAATTTTCCTACAAATGACATAAGTTTGTTATTTTTGTTAGTGGATGAGAAAAATTCCATTGTGGACATGCTGCATTTCTTTACACATTCCCTTACACATCCCTCCGTTGCTGAACACCCAGGTTGGTTCTATAATTCAGCTGTTGTAAATAGTGCTGCAGTACACACTGATGGGCAGGGGTCTGTGTGATGTGTTAGCTTGGCGTTCTTCAGGTAACATGCAGGAGTTTGACCACCCTGATGCCTCATTACTCCATAAAGTCAGCTCTGGGGAAAAGGCTGATTCAGCTGCAGTGTGATTGGCACAGTGTTCTCATCCTGGAGTGTTGCTTTTCTGAGACATATATATATATTTAATCCAGATTGTAATTTCAATGCATTATTTTTAATTTTCTTTCCTTGGAATTAATTAATTAACTTTCAATCTTGATCGTAGCTTCCCCTGCTACTCCTCCCAATAGCCTCCCTCTCGCTGTCCCTCCCTCATCCTCCCTTTCTCCTTAGAGAATGGGGGCCTTCCATGGATATAAACCCACTTTGGCATATCAAATTGCAGTGGCTCATATTCTCCTACTGAGTCCAAACAAGGCAGCCCGGTTAAGGGAAAAGGGTGCAAAGTCAGGCAACAGAGTCAGAGACCCTCCTGCTTCAGTTGTTGGGGGACACACATGAAGACCAAGCTGAACATCTGTTACAAATGTGTAGGGGGCCTCGGTCCATCCCAGGCACGCACTTTGGTTGTTGGTTCAGTCTCTGTGAGCCACTATGGACCCAGGTTAGTTGATTCTGTAGGTGTTCTTGTGGTGTCCTTGACCCCTTTGGCTCCTTCAATTCTTCCTGTCCCTCTTCCATAAGACTCCCCAAGCTCCGCCTAATGTTTGGCTGTGGGTCTCTGCATCTGTTTCCGTTAACTGCTGGGTGAAGCCTCTCAGAGGACAGTTATGGTAGGTTGAACCTCATTTTTAAAGTAAGAGAATGGATGGTTCTATAAAAGGTCCAAGCAACTGTGTCTACCTTAAAGCCTATTCTTGTTCAAAATGACATATTTAGTACGTTCATGATTGTTCCTCTCTCTGTACTTTATATTTAAGGAGACTAGGGTTTTGGCTTTTGTTCTTAGTGTCGTATCCCAGCACACAGCACTGAGTCTATCAATTTATCAACAGCGACGGAGATATGTTTATACCTCATTAAACATGTGCAAATATAAGTCAGCTCATAAATAATCCTTGGTTGGTTGCGAATGTGTCTTAGGGATGAGAGAAACTTCACCCCTCAGTTCCCAGCTTACGTCTGCTCCAGGTTTTGCCCCTCTGTTTCTGATTCAACAAAGGAAAGAGTGAGGACTGGAGGCACACACCATGAGGAGCAGAAAGAGCCAGACAGCCATGGGACAGGGCTCCCGCTGTGGATCCTTACTGGGAAGAATGTTAGAGACACAAGCACAAACCCTGGCCAGCACTTGGGGGAGTGTCTCAGACACTGTGTGGCTCAAGCATCTGAAATACAGAAATCTGTTCTCTCCTAGCCCGAGGGCTGGAAGCCCAAGATCAAGATGTGGTCAGGGTTGGTCCTTCTGAGACCTGCCTTCCTGGCTGTAGATGGCTCCCTTTGCTTTGATTTCATGTGTTTGTTTGTTTGTTTGTTTGTGTGTGTGCGTGTATTTGTATACAGATCCTTCTCTTAAATGAATGCCAATTATTAGTGGTTTAGGCTTCATTAGACAGTGTGTGTGTATGTGTGTGTATGTGCGTGTGTATGTGTGTATGTATGTGGTGTGTGATGAGTGTGTATGTATGTGTGTGTAGTATTATGTGGTGTGTATATGTGTATGATGTGTGTGTGGTGTGTGTGTGTATGTGTAAGTTGTGTATGTGTGGTGTGTAGTATGTGTGTGCTGTGGTGTGTATGTGTGTATGTGTAGTGTGAGGTATATGTATGTATGTGTGTGTGGTGTATATGTAGTGTTTATGTGGTGTGTATTCAGTGTGTGTGTGGTTTTGTATGTGTGGTGTGTGGTGTGTAATGTACATATGATGTGTGGTGTGTACTGTGGTATATATATGTGGTGTGGGAGGTGGTGTGTGTGTGTGTAGTGTGAAGTATATGCATGTATGTGGTGTGTGGTATGTGTTGTGATATGTGTATATGTATGTGTGGTATGTGTTGGGTATGTGCGTGTTTAGGCTAGATGTTGATTCTGGGTGTTTCCTTGGTTACTCTCTGTTTACTGAGGGGAAGTCTTTTGCTCACAGCCTTTTCAGAGCTGGGGTTATTGAGCAGGCCACCATACCTGCTCAGCTTTTTCAATCGTGCTGGGGGTCTGAACTCCAGTCCGCACACTTGTGTGCTGGGCACTTAATCTATAGCCATCTCCCCAGCCCTGACCACGTTAAATTTTATACCTCTTTATAGGGTCAGTCTTCCAAATCAGTCAGTTCTGAAGTACTGAAGGTTAATGCCATAGGAGCTTGGGGGAGGGGCAACATGTGAAGCCATAGCTTCCCCCCAGACCAGCGGAGGCCTCCAAATGCTAATCCAACAGACAAAACAGTGAGGGAGAGCTTTTCAAGCATGCATAGCTACAGAAGCAAAAGGAAGTGGTTTAATTCTCTCCCTTAACAATGGATACAGAACATTTCCTACAACAGATGCTGGTTTACATCTGAGCTGCAGGGTCTGTCTCTTTGGATCAGTCTCCATGAAACAGAAACTCAAGTTTTATAGAAAACAGAACCTTAACTTAGCTACAGACCCAACATGGCTTCTGATTATAAAATGGAGTTAGGCTGGTTCTTCGCTTCCTAAAGTTGCTGGAGATGCTGTGAGCCAAGGCTGGATGGATCTAGTCTGTGTCCTATGCAGCAAGTGCTCTACATAAACTGCTTGTGTCTGTCATCTTCACGGGACAAGAGCCCAGTTCTCCAGGACTTGGCTCTTGCCTTTGCATCACTGAGTAGGATCCAGTGTAGCAAACCTGCTTCTGTGCTTAGTAAGATGTCTGTTTTCTTCTTGGGGGAGTTGAAGATAGAAAAGGCATTCTTTTTATATAGAAGTTAATATTTCAATTATTAAGAGCCAAAGTAAAGCAACACAAGAGAATGCACAACTTATAAAATGATTGAGCCAGAGGGAGGAAGGTCTGAAAGGAAATGTTGCAAGGAAATGTTCAGATTCTGCCTGGGTGGTGAATGGTTTGATACTTGATCAGGCTTTGAGACACTATCCCTCTGCACTTTTCTCCTCTCTGTCTCAGTCTCTGTCCTCCCCCTTCCACTCCCCTCTCCCTCCCACTCCCCTCTACCTCTTCCTTCCTTCCTTCCTTCCTTCCTTCCTTCCTTCCTTCCTTCCTTCCTTCTCCCATCCCTCCCTCCCTCCCCCTCCCTCCCTTCCTCCTCCTCCTGCTCCTCCTCCTCCTTCTTCTTCTCTCTCTCTCTTTCTTTTTTTCTTTCTTTCCATTCCTCACCATGCCATCTGTAACTAAGGGATGACGGTCCGTTCTTGTCACCCGCCATTAAGGAATTGTCTCAGACAGTTTTATAACATCTGCTTCTTGCAACCTTCTAATTATCCATAAAAACCTGGCAGAGAATCTGACAGTTTATCTGGAACATGAAATGTGAATACAAAACAGGGCATTTGGCTTCAGCATAGAGAGGGATGGCGTAAAACTGGGGCGCATGCTCTTTGCCTTTGCTCTTTGCCCTTTCCCTCTGGATGTGACTACATCTGTTGAAAGCAAGGTTAGGTCCATATCTTCTCTATAATGACTAATTTTGAGATGTATCCTTTAATAAAAAGAATGCAGGTCAGGGGTACTTAGGGTTTTGTGTGGGAGTCTGCTGTTAGTGTCTGCTCTGCAACACCTCTCATAACCTATAGATGTTCGTGCCTCCACGATACTGAGATTTCCATGTCCTGACGGGGAAACAGAGGGCCTCCTGACTGGGGCAGACATTTGCCTTTAGCAAGGTCTTCTCATTGACTCCTATGGTGTGTTTGTGACTAATGCCTTTTTTACCCACCAAACTGCCTGGCTTCGTGAGCGGTGGTCCTATTGCTTCTGTGGAGCACATCTTCTGGCTCTTTATTCTCTGTATTTATCTGATGACCTAGTATGTTTTAACTTGTGTTCACGATGTCTTTCTTATGTGTACTTACCTCCAGTTATTATCTGATCCATTATCTGATCCACTGATGATTCTGACTTGTGGTTCTGTCTCCACAGATGTCTGTGTGGACATTTGGCTGGAGACCTCTACTCTGTTGAGGGATGATGCTTTGTGTCTTGCCATCTCTTGGATATGATGTCACAGCCTTGCATCAGCTCCCCTGGTGCTGTTATTCTTCATTTTGCTGAGTCAAGGGAAGACCTAATCCCCCTCCACCCTCTTACGGTTGGTGGGTGGGATCTGGAAATTGGAGTGATGAAAGGCAAATTACCAGAAGGAAAAACAGATTTATAAAATGAGTCCACACAGGAGTTCATCAAACAAATACAAGACTAGAGCAGAGATTAGATCCCAGGCCTATGTATCATCTTAACAAAGGCTGCTGAAGCGCAGAACAGAGGCTTGGGGAATGCTCCTGCAGCGGGAAGTTTTCCATGAAAGTGATGAGTATGTGTGTGATTAGTAAATGCCCCTCCTCGGTGTAGACAAGGGGTCACCTTGGCTGACAGGTATTTTCTCTGGAGTAACTGTCCTCCCTGAACAGAGAAGAGGGATTCATTTCACAAGTGGAAATTTATTATCTTAGAAAGAGAAACTTAGATCCAGGTTTTAGAGAAGTATGGGGAAGGAGAGACGTTTCCTCATGCTTGTTCTTTCTTATATCCCTTCAGCTCACATGACCCCTCTGCCAGATGGGCCTATGTGGGGTGGTGCGTTAGGCCCTCCGCTGCTCTGAGAGAAGCTGATGAGAAATGACGTCGAGTCTTGAAAACCTTTAAGAACTGCGTTTATTTACTTTATCTGTGTGCACTTGAGGAGGCCAGAGAACAACCTTCAGGAGTCAGTTCTCTCCTTCAGCCAGTGGTGGAACTCAGGTCATCAGGCTTGACAGCATACGCCTTTACCCCCCCCCCCCCGCCGCCCAGCCATCTCCCTGACCCTAGTTTTTGAGTCCAGAGCTCTTGTCTTTTTGCCATACTGAGAGGCATCAGCTGGGAGCTTATTAAAACACCAGTCCTTGGGCCCTACTCTGCTGCTTCTTAGGCAGATCTGCATTTTACAAGATTCTAAGGCAGGTGGCAGGTACCCGGTACATCAATCAGTGGACAGCCAAGTTCAGAATCAGCTTTTGGACTGCAAGTGGTCATCTATCAAGCTCCCTGTGATAGGTGTAGGGAAGTTGCTGCCGTTGCTGGCACAGGTTTGACTCGGAGCAGGAGCCTGTATCTAATTGCAATAGATAAAGCAACTTGGGTTAAAGCCAGGCCTTCAGGAGGACAAAGGGGAGTGATGTGGGCATCTGAGGTGAGGCCATTAGCAGTTGGATTATAATACAATGTGCTGTAATGGAGCAGTAATGGAATGCAGTTGATACAGTTCTGCTATAAAAGGGGCACTGTCTTCATTCAAGCATCCATCCCTCACAGACAGTGTCATGGCATCAGGCACCTGAGAAAGAGCTTTGCTGCAAATGTCTTAGTCTTGCTGCTCTTTTGTTCTTCAGGTGAGTATGTCCTAGGACAGAGCTCTGACTAGCCTCACTCTCATGTGCTACATCAGCTGGAAGAGAGCGGTGGGTGCTGCCCTGCTGGCCCCTCTGAAAAGTCCTGGGGACAAATTACAGCTGGGACATGAGCTTCTGCTGTCAGAGCCACCAGCCACAGGACACCATTTTAAGGGATGTATCTCTCCAGTGAAGCTGATTCTTTGTCGCAGATCCAAAGATGAGCAGTGTTGCTAATCAGGAGGAAGAAACAAATGTACTGTAATAGCTTCACAAGGAGTTCACTGGCAAACAGATTAACAAACAAATACATGACTCAAGCAGGAGATTAAATCCCAGGCTTATATACCATTCTAACAAAAGATGTTAGAGTGAAGAGAACAGCATGAGCACCCCTCAGCACCAGCACCCATCAGCATCAGCACCACACAACACCAGCACCCCTCAGCATCAGCACCACACAACACCAGCACCCCTCAGCATCAGCACCACACAACACCAGCACCCCTCAGCATCAGGACCACACAGCACCAGCACCCCTCAGCATCAGAACCACACAGCACCAGCACCCCTCAGCATCAGGACCACACAGCATCAGGACCCCTCAGCGTCAGGACCACACAGCACCAGCACCCCTCAGCATCAGCTCCCCTCAGCATCAGCACCACACAGCATCAGCACCCCTCAGCATCAGGACCATGCCTCAACATTGTTTCAATTGCTGTCTCTCACTTTATCATTTCTCTTGATCATTCTAGTTTTCCTGTGTGCTCAGAACATATTTTAGTAGCCTGTCACCAAAAGTTTATTTCTTTAAATGTTTGTTTCATTTTATGTATATGAATGTTTTCCGTGTGTGTGTCTGTGTGTGTGTGTGTGCCCACACCCCAACATGATACATACTTGATTCTTGTGGGAATCAAAAGAGGGCACTACATCCTCAAGAAATGATACTACAGATGGTCGCTGAGCCACCATATAGGTGCTAGGACTCAAACCTGAATCTCGTAAGAGCATCAAGTGCTTCTAACTGCTGAGCCATCTCTCTAGTCCCACAGTTTCCCTGTGCCCGGTACTTTTACTTGTTCCTGAGAAAAATCTGAATTAGCAGTCACCCTGGCAAGACAGTTATTATTTTTTTATTTGTATAATTCTTATTTTGAAAAAAAAAACATGGCATGATAAAAACTCTGCAGCCTTGTCCCACAGGACACACAGATTGAATGAGAAGCCTGAAAGGGAAGATGAAGGGGGAAGAGATGCCAAGGATCATGGGAGTTACCTGGTAAACTTAATGTTGGTGTCATGAATGTTTTTCTGAAGGAGCTGTGGCAAACAGAAGTGTGCTTCCAAGGACTGAAATCCAGGCTTGATTCCACTCCAGTGCAGCCTGGTGACCAGTGAGTTTGACTGGGGTTACTTACAGAAGCATGGGCAACCTATGGGCGGTGAGACCACTCAAGAAAACAATCTCTGTCCTCCACAACTTCTGTTACCTGTCTGTAAATCCTGGCAGAGGGGTGGGATCTCGTGAGTCCCTATTATAGCAACCATTAAGTACCTATAAATTCTTGATAAGAAGCACAGCCAGCTTTGTGTAGTTTCCTTCAGATAATCACAGGCTCTGACAGTTCAGAGGGCAGTAGGCACATCATGTTAGGAAGATGGTATTCCATAGCAGTTGGGTTTCCAGTGGGCTATCACTGGTTAACTGTCCCATACATGAGTGGGAATGGGGTGGGGGGAGAGGTACAAGACAAACTCGTCAAAGGTTTTTGCTTTATACTGAGATAAAAATGGTGGATAGCATTCTTGAGTGCATAGACTCTCCAGATACTTGCTGGCTCTTCTGTGCATGTTAGCCTCTATGTTAGCATTCCGTCATTGAGATAAAAGGCAGGAGAAACTCAACCTAAAATGGGGAAATGGTTTCACTCTGCTGTTACTGGCTTTGTTGTTCTGTAGCCTGCAGTGAGGGAGAAGTCATGGTGAGAGAGTGTGGTGGACAAAGCCACTTATTCCAGAGGAGCTGGGAGATGGAGAGATGGAAGGCAAAGCTTGCCTCTAGTTCTCTCAAATTCTGCTATTAGGCCCTACCCTAAAAAGCTCTAGCATCTCCCAGCAGACCAGTGCTGAGGACCAAGTCTCTTCACTGGGCTGTGGAACACACTGTAGATCCAAATCCCAGCGTATTGTCTGATCCTCACATCAGCAGAGGGGATGGGGTGATGGTCCCGGTACCAACTCCAGAACAGAGAGCCCGGGCCTCACTTCCAGCTCCACTGTTTACACGCCTTATGACTTCACGCCAGTCCCTCACCCTCTGTCACCTATAAACCTGAAATGTCAATTGCATCTGCTAATGGCTGGGAGCATTAAATTATGCTATGGGCACGAAGCACGAAGCGTCTGACTCTTCACAGGCCCTTGACATTATTGTCATTATTCCTACTTGACAGATAAGGAAATTGGGTCTCAAAGAGGTTAAGTGGCTGGTCCAGAGTCTGGTGGCTAGATCAAATTGGCACCAGATCTAATCTGACCTCTCTTAACTACTCACATGCTGACTCAGAGGCTTGTGGGCTGCTGCTGGCTCCTGCTGGGCACAGCATTACTAAAGTCTACCTCCGTGAGCACCTCTCACCTGGATTCCCTTGGCATGGACTCTTCCCAGATCTTTAGCTTGGCACGAGTTCTTTGAGCTTGCATCTACTTGCAACACGAGGAGGCAACTGTACTAGCCACTCCCTGTATTTGTTCATCTATGGGCTCACTATAGCTGTTCTTAGACACCTGTCTTTCTCAAATATAGTTGAACACAGCCAAAACTGAAGTCACTTTCTGCCACAGGTCATCTTTAGTGTTGCTTTAGTGCAGGGTGTGTGTGTACCTCTTTGCTGTTTGCCCATCTTAGAGGGTTCGTCTGAGTGTAATTCCCCTACTTCCCACCAGGTGTCCCACCCTTCACTGATATCGGACAATCAACTGGGAAAGGAAGACTTGGAGAGATGGGCGGTAGAGGGAGTAGGGGGAGGTGGAGAGACTTCCAGATGCTGCTTCTTATCTTAGACAAAAGGAAGCGTTTGCCTTGTTCTTCTTTGATGCATAGTCGGATCTCTCCAGAAAGCCTAGATAACTCACCGCAATTCAGGGAGCTTCTATTTCTGTTAGGGAATTGGTGTCTGTCTGACCAGTCCCTTTCATCTCTGAGCTGGAGACTGCAATCTATGGTCACTGCATTCTTCTTCAGAGCCCTCATAGCCTCCCCTCCTTTCTTAAGCTCTCCTTCTTCCAGGGTCTGATTAAAGAAAAAAAAAAAAAGACCACAAGTCCTGGCCCCACCTGGCCTCAATATTGTTTGAATCAGAGAAGGTGAAAGGCCAGCGTGTGACAGTGGCACTAACTAGTGTTCCTGCAGACATTAACCTAATTCGTCCTCTTTTTTTATGTTACTGTGGCAGAAATACTTCCCCATTCTGAACCAAGGCTGCCACATGTTTCTCCAGGGCGCATGCATCTAAGTTGGGATTTGGACACGCTGACAGAACCATAGTGACTGGAACACTTGCCTTCTAAAAAGTCCTGCTCATCCTGGCAGGTGGTGAGCTCCTACCAGCCATTAGCCCTGCCTTCCTTTGTTTTAGAAGATCCTGCATACCTAGGAGAGGCTGGGTGAGGAAAAGGATAGCCTGTGGTCTTTCTCTCAGGTATCACCATTTGTCCTGGGGCTCTCTGGAGCCCCCTCAGCCTCACTGTTGACACTGGATCGCTCCCACGGCTTAAGGAAACAATGTAATCCATGGATTTGCAAGCTGGCAGGTTATTTCTCACCTGGTGATCTGCTGAGGGTATGGTGTGTTATCTTCAGTGCCAGCTTCGGAAATAGCAGCATGGAGTGTTTCCCCTCTCCCCACCCCCACTGAAGACCTTGATGTCCAGAACACGGTGCTAAAGCAGTCCCCAGGTTCTGCGTCCCGCACCTCATTATGTGCACAGCTTTTAATACCCAGAGAGTTTTTGCCAATATACATTTTCATGTGTACTGGGAACCCAGAGCTCAGACACAATGTATTATTGATAGGATTGTAATTTACTCCTCTTGGGTTGTATCTACAGTGTATACCATTAGCACAAAATATTAAATTACCAGTGGTTGTATATATTTGTCTACTCGGGTCTGGCACAACGATATTTGCTTTTCTACTCAATAAAAGACCATGAATACAGAAAGCTGAATAATATTATTTTTGTTGCTGCTGTTGCAAGGGTGTTTTGATTAAACTATTTCTTCAACACTGTGCTGAGCCATACTTTGCCAGGACAGGAGACATAGAACTCTGGGGACTTAAGGGGAATATGGGTGGGCAGTTCGCCCCAGCTCTTGGCTCACACTGCTTCCCTGGCCGGCTGCTGTGGTCGAGTGCAAGGGCTTTTGCTACATGAGGGAACTAGTAATCTGTGTTGCCAGAAGAACAGGGCTCTTCAGACCTCGGTGCCAGACCTGCAGGGCGCCAGGTCACAGCTAAAACTTTGGAGCTGGGGCTGGAGTGGGATTCAGGGTGTGGAGGCAGAGCCTCTGTCATAGCCTCATGCCCTAGATTACTTTGTAGTCTTCTCTTCTGTAATCACTACTGGCCACTTTGTTTCTTTTCCCTCCCCGAGCTGGGTTACATAGAAACACACAGGCATGGTTTCTTCTCTAGAAAAGAACCCAAGTTCAAGCAACACCACCCATGGGAATATCACATCACGTCTGCCTGGAGCTTTATTTATTCTAGCCTTCGGATTCCTTGCAAAGCTCAGACCAGAAGGCATTTACTAGTTAGCTAGCTCGATACCCAGACTACCATGGTCCCTCAGTCAGATCCACTATGTAATATTTATGAATAAAACATTTTCTTAATGCCTGTGGGTTGGTCTCCTCACCATTTGTGGGGCTCAGTATACAGAGGTGTGGGCTGAGTTTGACATTCATATTAATAGAAGCAGGAAGGCAAGACATTTGCAAGAAATGCTTTTTCCTATATTCGGTGTGAGGCGCTTGTGATTCCCTGGGGTAGATGGTCTGGGGAGGTGAAGAGGCCACTGTGGGCATTCAGGATACAGGGTCTTGGATACCAAAGTGGCTTCTATGCTCAGTTCCTAATGGCGGCAATGATGGGCTCTGTTGAGCTTAGCCACACAGGGCATCTTCCAGAGGTGGGTATTGTTTAGTGTCTGCCTATTTTTTTTTTTTTTTTTTTTTTTTTTTTTTTTTAGCCAAGTGGCTCCTCAAGCAGACCCCTCCATTGAGGAAGTGGTAATTTCATAAAATATTTCTCTCGGCAGGTACTTTGTACTAAGTGGACTCCTGCCCCACCCCTACATCTTTTTCCCTAAAGGAGAGATATGGTGTTTAAAACAACAACAACAACAACAACAACAAAAACCTAAGACAACAGTCACTCAAGGTGTACAGCCAATTAAGTCAATGCTAAATCTACCAAAGCAAACCATAGACCCTGACAGCGAAGTTGTTTGTCCCTATCCCATCCCAGGTTCCTGCAGAGTCTGAGACATATTCTGGTGCAGAGGGACCCATGAAAAGGCAATTACACTTGGTGAGTGATTAAAGTCGGATCTGGCAGCTTTATGTGTCAAATATGTTTAAATGCATTAACCTTTACAGAATTTACACTGCGTGCCGAGTTACATCCTGTACAGTGTCAGAAAGATCTGAATCTGCCTTCATTTAAGTCTTTTTTTTTTTACATTTATTTTATTACAATATAAATAGACTTAAATAATCTTAATAGGGATTTCCTCCCCAGTTCTGCAGGTCCTACTGGCACTGTGGAGAGTCTGAAGGCAATAGGGTCCCTTGGCTGGTTGCAAATGATGTCCCTGGATGTATCTGCCTGGAAACTCTAGGGAGAGAGGGTGTCCAGGAGGCAGCAGGACTTCCTTGAGTTTATCAGGAATTTAAGCCTGCAGGGAGCAGGTTTAGAATACCGACAGCATAAGGCACAGGGGCAGGAGGGCTTGTCAGCAGATAGGCAACTTTTAATTCTGCAGGTTCCAAGGAATACACATTTCTGAAGCATTGGTTTTAGGAAGAAAGGCCACACAGCAGTCATTGGCGGTGTGTTCTTGTCTGCCCTTGCCATCCCTCTGCAAAAGCTCAGGCTGCGGATGCCTTTGGTGACTGTGTTTTTGCAGAATGCCTCTGTTCGGATGCTGTTCTTCAGTCCACCGCTGGCAGCTCCATGCCTCCTGAGCTTCACTCCACTGAAATCTGGTTGGCATAAGACAGACTCCGGTGGAATGAAGGACAAGAGGACCCATGGATTGTCTGGGGCTGTTTGTCTACTAAGCCTCCTCTTGTCGTGCTGTGTGACCTGGAGGAGACTTTCAGGACCCTGCAACCCCACTCTTACAGGACCTGAACACCTGTATTCATTCATTCATTCATTCATTCATTCATTCATTCATTCATTCTTTCATTCATTCACCTCAGAGTGTTCTGGGTAGCACAGCCAATGCTGTGTGTGGGGCTGGACTCTAGGTAGTTTCTCGTCCATGAAGAGCAACCCCAGATACATACAAGTGGAGTCTCCTCTCTGTATTCCTAGTTGGGATGCTGGCTCCCTTCTTTAATGTGTCCACATCGGAGCTGGGTATGTTTGGTGAGATCTAGAGAAAGCACATATGCTTTCATTGCACACAAAGGGTGGAATACAGGGGAGCAGGCATTCTTCTGAAAAAGCCACTGTGCGAGGGCATGAACAGCCCGGTTAAGGCCTGTGCGCTGGTGTGTAATCAGGATGCACTGAGGAAAAGGACTCTGCTTGTCTACATGAACAGGGACAGTCCTGTTTATGGGGCCAGTGGGTGATGGAGGGAAGAATTCTTGGTCCTCTCTCCATAGCTGGGAGAGCATAGTCTGGGAAAAATCAGTCGCTAATGGCCATATATCTTTCCCCAGATCTGCAGAGAATTAGTGAATGACTTCTTCAAGGAACCTAGGGTAGAGGTCAGGGGAGGGAGGCTGGCA